AAACATATGAAAAAATATCCATGATCATTAGCCATTTTTGTTAGGTGCCATCGAGTCGGTACTGACTCATAGCCACCCTATGCACAGCAGAACAAAACACTGTCCAATCCTGGGCCAACCTCACTAATGTTGCCACGCTTAAGTCCATCGATGCTGCCAACTGGCCAATCCATCTCGGGGGTTTTCCTCTTTTTCTCGAAACCTCCACCCTACCAAACATGATATCTTTCTCCAGGGACGGATCCCTCTTGACAATATATCCCAAGTATGAGAGATGAAGTTTGGCCATCCTGGCATCCAAGGAGAACTCTGTCTGCACTTCTTCCAACATGAATCTGTTTGTTCTTTGGGCAGCCCATGGCACTTTCAATATTCTCCACCAACACCACAACTCAAATACATCAATTCTTCTATGCTTTTCATTATTCACTGTCCAGCTTTCACATGCATATGAGGTTATTGAAAATACCATGGCTTGGGTCAGGCACATTTTAGTCCTCAAGTTGATATCTTTGCTCATCAACACTTTAAAAAGGTCTTGTGCAGCAGATTTGCCTAATGCAATATGCCGTTTGATTTCTTGACTGCTGCTTCCATGAGTGTTGATAGTTGATCCAAGAAGAATGAAGTCCTTGACAACTTCTATCTTTTCTCCATTGATAAGAATGTTCTTTATTTGTCCAGTGGTGAAGATTTGTGTTTTCTTTACCTTGAGATGAAAACCAGACTGAAGGCTGTTCTTTTTTATATTCATCAGTAAGTATTTTAAGTTCTCTTCACTTTCAGCAAGCAAGGTTGTATCATCTGAATATCGCAGGTTGTTAATGAGTCTTCCTTCAATCCTGGTGCCATGTTTTTCTTCATAGAATCCAGCTTCTCAGATTATTTGCTCCACATACATGTTGAATAAGTATGCTGAAAGAATACAACCCGGTCACACACCTTTCTTAATTTTAAGCCATTCATGTTCTGTTAGAACAAGTGCCTCTTGGTCCATATATAGATTCCTCATGAAAACAATTAAGTGTTACTGAATACTCATACTTCACAATACTGTCCATAGCTTGTCATGATTCACACAATCAAAAGTCTTTGTGTAGTCTTTCTGATATTCTCTGCTTTCAGCCAGGATCCATCAAACATCACAAATGATATGCCTCATTCCATGGCTTCTTCTGAATACAGCTTGAACCTATGGAAGTTCTCTGTCAATGTATGCTTGCAGCCATTTCTATATTACCTTTAGTAAAACTTTACTTGCATGGAATATCAAAGAGATTCTCCGATTATTTCTGCATTCCGTTGGGTCACCTCTCTTTGGTATGGGCACACATACGGATCTCTTCCAATCATTCAGCCAGATAGCTGTCTTCCAAATTTCTTGGCAGAGATGAGTGAGTGCCTCCTGTGCTGCCTCATTTTCTTCAAAGATTTCAATTATTATTTCATCATACCTTGTTCTTTGCCAAATCCTTCAATGTACCTTGGACTTCCTCCTTCAGTATCATTAGCTCTTGATCATATGCTACCTCTTGAAACGGTTGAACATTAAGCATTTCCTTTTGGTACAGTGACTCTGTGTATTCCTTACATCTTTTCTTGATGCTTTCGGCATCATTCAGTAATTTGCCCAGAGAATCTTTCAATAATGAAAGTCAAGGCTTGATTTTTTTCTTCAGTTCCCCCAGCTTCAGAAATGCTGAGCATGTTCTTCCGTTTTGGTTTTGTATTGTAAAAGCTTAAGAGAAGATACCCATACTAAAAGAAAAAAAACAAAAAATGTGTCGGTTTGTTGGGGGGTGGGGCAGTAGAGCACAGGGTAAGGGATAGAAATAACATAGCTCGGGTGTTGGGGAGAACAATACACAAGAATGAGGAGGAGGATGGAAGAACAAGGTAAATAAGGGAAATCTTATGCAGGGTTGCATGGGCTAAATGGGGCAGAAGTTAGCAGTGATGTATGTTCAAACTTGGAGCAACAGTGCTCTATGATACCAAGATTTAGGCATAGTCTGAATGGGTAAAAGTGGGGAAATAATGTTGCTTGACTCTCTTATGAATATTATTTTTTCTTGTCTACAACTGTGAAATAGACACTTGATTGAGACAGAAACAAATATCGGGAAATATGATTACAGAATGTTTGTAAGCTTTACTTCAGCCTATAACTGATGGGAATACTTAAAAGGGATTATAGAACTTGCCCAGTGATATAACCTTCTGAAGTATCTTTGTAGTGTATAGGAACTTAGGTGTAATACTGAGCCTCATCCATAAACTTCTGAGGTGGGACATTCCTACTAGAAAGGACAATAAGACCAGCCTGGAACAGCTAGAGGAACATAAGACACTTCTTGAAAGCAAGACCAGCAGAGAAAAATCTAAAACAAAAATGGCAGTCTGATTGTCTGTTACAAAAACAAGCAAGTTGTTCACTGGGTAGCCATGAAGGAAAGCAATCAAGTCCCTTCAGGACAAACACCCTTCTAAAAATGAAATTCAAACAGAACACATGAGCAGGCATGTAAGATTGCTAGTGACCATTTGGTCAACTGGAGAGTGGAAGAGGGAGAAAGGCATTAATGAAGACATGTGCTGAGTTCGACCATGTTCCATAGAATCCCTTAAACCTGCAGATGAGAGAGAGAAGAGGAAGATCTGGATGGTATGAAGTGTACTGAGACTTGGGGACTCCTGGGCCCATGGACAAGGACATAACCATCTAGAACTAGAACTGAGAGTGAAGTTTCCAGCTGTTATAAAGTGAGGGTGAGGGGAGATACACCAGAATGCCCAAATTTGTAGATAATACCTTTTCGATTTAGCTTTGATGGCTTGATGATCAGAACTCGATTAGAGGAAGATAAAAAATTTAATAAAGGAATCAAGTGTAAATTGATACACATTGATGAACTTGACCTATACTTATAGATGTAGTAGCTCAAATTACCAACTGAGAGGGATAGAGTCTTCATGTCAACTATGAAGCCTATTCCTCTGTATACAGGGATGATAGGGATGGGCAACTTAGACTTTGGCTACCTTAAATGGGGGGTAATAAAAGCACGAAGCGACTGGTTTACAAGTTTCCAAGAGGGTGTTTAGTTTCAGAGGGTGTGGGGAAAGAGAATCCACATTGAATAGTTTTCATCTTGTCTAGACGGGTCTGGTGAAAGGAGATGAGGATAAGATTCTTAAGATTCAATAGTGAATAATTGTTATCATGACTAATTTCAACTGTCACAACTGTAAAAGTAGAAGTTTTGTAACAAAAAGGCAGAGTAGTTAATCTTACAGTCCAGAAACAGAGGACCCTTGGACCATCAAGGGAGAAGAGCAAGAGCAGAATGTGGTACTGTATAGAGAGATGGAGCAAAACCAGACATGGAGGCAGACATAGAGAGATAAAGCATCTGAGGACTCTAGACTCATAGAAAGAGACAGGTTATTTGCTAGCGGCCAGAAGGTAGGCTTGAAGAAAGTGCCCTTTGGTTGTTTAAATTATTATATATTCATGAGTGTTTTTGTATATATTGCCCCCCCCCAAATAAAGAGTGAATAGAAGCAAATACTGTTGAATGATGATGCATGGAAGATATTGTAATCATTGCAATGAAATGATGAGTGTAAAACTGATGTTCTCCCATGTAGACTTATCACTCATTCACAATGAAAACTTAAAAAAAAAAAAAAAAAAAAAGTACAGATAAAATATTCATTGTAAACCAGGATGGCCAGTCTTTGTCTCTCATGTTTCAGATGTATTATCAGGAAATACCTGTCCCTTGAAAAAGATATAATATTTGTTAAAGTGGAGGGTAGAAGGATAAAAGAAGACCTCAAAGAGATTGACTGGCACAGTGGCAGCAGCAATAGGCTGAGCCATAGCAGCAAATGTGAGGTTGGCTCAATACTAGACAGTGTTTCATTGTGTTGTGCATAGGGTTTCTATGAGTCAGTACCAACTCTATGACACCTAACAGCAACAGAAACAACTTCCTTTCATACCCATTCACCCTGAGTCTGTCCATGTATCTACACACAGAACACTGTTGTTCTGAGTTGGTGTATGTATAATTCCTTTATAATCCCTTAAGCCCTAATATATCTATCTGTACCTTCACCTAACTTCATCATTCTCTGCCAACCTCCCTCTTTTCTACATTGTCCTTCCTGTCACTCAGGTTAACATGTGTCTACCTTCTAGCCAGTTAATTTCTCTCCCTTCATTTCCATTCCTGGTAATCATCAAATGGTGTTCTTCAGTACAATAATACCAGAGAGGAATGCAATCCTTAGAACAATCAAAAGGCATAATTTGCTCAAAGTAAAACCTCAAAAGGCTGAAATGGGACCAGAAAGAAGAACAAATGGAAACAGTAATATAGGAAAGACGTGAGCAGGGTGGTTATATTGTGGGAACTGCAAACAATGTTACAAAACAAAATGTGTATTATTTTTTTTTAGAATGGAAAACCAATATGTTCTGTAAATTTCCACTCAAATTACAATAAAATATTAAAAATAAAAAATCATGTTCATCAGCCTGGTATTTTTAGAAAACACTGTTTATCATAGTGGTCAATGAAAATAACTGGATTAACATTCATGACTTGTAAACAAGGGATGCATCCAAGGGATGCCTGGACCCCAGAAAACTAAAAACAATTATGTTAATAAGACATATAAGTTATAAGATATACTGCATCCTATAAAAGGCTTTGAGATCACACTTATTTGGCCAGTTACCAACACCCTTTCAACAAACGAATACACACACAATACGGCTTTAAAAAGGATTCTCTGCAGAGACATTACATTTTTTTAAGCATGTTCTGGAGTAACAAAAATGTTTTCATGAATACTCAAAAACTTCTATAATATAATCTCTAACAAAGCTTGAACAACTCTGAGGACAAGGCAGTTAGATCAATATGGGTTTATTTCATATGCTAGGCAGCATGGACAGACAAGGATGATAATCAGATGGATTTTATTACCTGTTGGAGTGATAAGTCCTGGTGATAAGAGGCCTGGGACTGCACGGGGCAGGAGACAGGCGTTTTCTTGAAACACTCCCAAAGTGCGTTTAGGGGGCCTTCCAGTCCTTGAACTATTATAAAACAGATAAAGAAACAAAAATAATCAGGTTAAAAATGTGCTCTACATTTGGAAATACCATCATTGGTTTCATTAGCCTTCTAAAGCTTGTTTATTTGCCAAGACTGACTGTTTTCCAGTAAATTTACCAACATACTTATGGCAATCATTAACTCCATAAGAAATTGCTTCAGTTTTTATTCCATTTAAAGGCTGTGTAAATGGAATCAAAATTAAATCAAAACAAGGAGCTGTGGTAGCAGAGTGGTTATGAGTTGGTCTGCTAACCTCAAAGTCAGCAGTTCGTAACTACCAGTCATTCTGCAGGAGAAAGATGATATTTTTTTGATCCCATAAACGTTTACAGTCTTGGAAATCCTATGTAGGGTCACTAGGATTTGGAACTGGCTTGAGATCATACATACCACCATGACCACTTATCACAGGACAACAAATAATGCAGCTCACCTCTTGTGAGAAAATTCCAAATTACTCTCTGTTCTTAAAGTTATACTTCATTCCTAGTAATAATATATGCTACTATGATCTGAGGTAGTGACTTATACAATAAATATTGGATAGAATATAAAGTTATCAACTCTCTGTTCTGCATGCCAATGGTGAGCATAAATAAATAGTTGAGATATGCAGAACAAAATTTGTCAGCATTTCCACAGCTTCCAGGAGAATATAAGCAACAAAGGGCTCCAACTCACAGTAGATGTTTTTCTAGCCATTTATTATATAGCAAATAGGACACTTTCTTGTAACTGTACTAACAACCTATCAACTTTACAATTTAGGTTAGATTTTCTCCCAGGTTGATTGCTGCTTATGACTTATAATTTGAGGTTAAACTTATAACAACTTAACCTATTCAATTTGCAAATTCATCACACTAGTTTGAGAAGTTTAGAATTTTAAATTGAAAATGTTAATCAGTAAAATAATGAAATAAAAAGTCAGTATCTGCTGCCTCCCTCTTGTGCTCTAATGCAGTTAGCATACTCGATAAATCATTTGGAAGCTGTCACCACTTATAAAAGAGGAGATTTATAAGTAATAAAACCATAACATCAATCCTTTAACCAATATATTTCAACTATTAATTTCTAAAGTTAATTAAGATATTGCTATTGTGTTTTAGTATAAATATATTTTACAGAGCTGAATAATAGGACTTTGAACAAAATATTTCAAGGTATTATCTTAAATAACTAATTTACAGATATATTAGTTTCTGATAGGAAACATATCTAAAGTAATCTAAGTTAAATCTTACTCTATCAACTTCGCTGTAGCGAAGTGTTCCATCAATGTAACAGAAACTCTGCTTTTAAATGAAGACAACTTCTAGCAACCTTGCATAAAGGTACCATTATCAGTTCACCTTTTCATTCACTATGCAAGTGTTATTTTCTTATTTTGAACATCTATATTGTATATCAACATAGAAGAAACTATTCTGGTTTTTAATTTAATGTTTCGACTTTATAAACTTCTGCTTATCAACTTTTTCTACTCAATTCTGTGTCATAAAGTATTTTACTTAATATAGTTCTGTTCCTGCTTGCCCTTGTCCTATTATATGGTTTCCAAATTCTATCATCCCATAGATATTATTTTCCACAGGTGGACAGACACAGTTACTACAACAAGGCCTCAAACATGTCAACTATTTAGAGGATTATTCAGGACAAGCAGTTTTGTATTCTGTTGTATATAGGTAATCTATGAGCAGAATGGACTCAATGACATCTAATAACAGCAATAACTCTTTTAAGGAATGGAGGTAGGAGAAATCTGATATTTAGTTTAAATATCCTAAAAGATCCCAGGAAGAGAACAAACAAGATGGCGGATCGGGTGGACGTATAGCAGAGAGCTCCACCAACAACAACACAGAATACCCGACCAAACAGGATCAAGGGTTGGTCCCAGAACTCTGAACCACATATAAAGGAATACTTAGAAGGTTGGAAGGCTCACAGCTGGGGGAATTTGTGGCAAAATCAAGAAATCCATTGCTTTCTAGTCCGGGAAGCTCGGCTGCGCCAGGAGCCACCATCTTGGGTGAGACCATGTGGGGGGAAGATCGGAGCAGCCACAGATACCTGGCAGAATTCCTGAGATAAAAGTGTGGACATTCTTTTCTTTTGGTAGCTGTTCATTGTTCCCTTGCTGTCTGTGCACTTCCATTCTGGTGACTATAGGGGTGCCTGAGCTAGTGGGCACCCCAGCCCCACCCTCGGCGGGTTCTACTACTCATGCGCACAGATATCCTTGAAATTTAAAGAGACAGTTTCCAATTAAAACCAAATGGCCACAGCCGGCCCT